GCGTACACACTGATATACATTGTTGCGCAATATTATCTCTGGACTGTATAGCGGCTGTCTCAAAAAAATCCAAATTTGTTGCGTGACTGTCTTACAACATTCCAGAAACACGATTTTGAATGTTTCTTGTTTCCCATCCCATATGGGAGACAGTACAAAGCTGCTCAATCTGAATACATTTGGCAACATCGAGGATCAGTTGAGGTTCAGCTTGTGATCTGTGAGGTGGGTTTGGTGACATGCTTGGGAGCTTTTCTGGGAAGTGAAATAAACAAAGATGAAGTTATTTGTGATTTTTGTGGGGAAAAATTGAGACAAGGGGGGGGGGGGGGTGTTAATTTAAATATAAATAAACACTTGGAAAGGAAACATCCTACTACTACTATAATCACTTTACACAAGCTTGGCCCAGAAGCCGCGCCCTCATTTCTATTAGCGAGCTGATTGGTTCATATCAAATGTTCGTTTCGCTGTCTATTTATTCATACTAATGTGTTCATTACTTATTATCAGACCTATTCTTCTCTATAATATTGTTAAAAATTACGAAAATAAAAATGCAAATGATTTTAAGGCATTAACACATCAAAGAGGATGTTAAAAATGTTAAAATATGTATAACGAACGGTCGGAGTCAGACAAAAGTTGCGCTCCGATGAAGCCTATCTATTATTTCTTTGTTTTGTAGCCGCCCTAAGCCAAAGAAGACACGACGTTCCTTAAGCTACGAGGTGAAGTACAAGATCATCCAAGAGTTGGAGAAAGGAACAAGACAGGTTGATTTGGCGCGCCAGCATGGTGTGAACGAATCTACGATCCGAGCGATAAAGAAGGATGCAGCCAAGATCAAAGAGCACATGAAAATCACAAAGTCTGCAGGTGCTTCTATGATCAAGTATTTCCACAACCATGTGCTTCTCAAGACGGAAAAATTACTTGTGAGCTACTTGGTGCGTCAGGCGCGACGGAACGTGGCGGTGGACACGCGCTCTCTTAAGGAGTACGCACGTGAACTGTATGCTGCAGTGTCACGAAAGATGGAAATTACAGAGCCCAAACCCTTTAATGCTTCCTCTGGGTGGTTACAGAGGTTTAAGAAGAGGAACAACATCACCAATATCAACATTGTTGGTGAAGAAGCTAGTGCTGACCGTGTTGCTGCGAGGGAATTTCCTCCGTTTTTACGTGAGATTATGGAGGAAGGACAGTACACCGACGACCAGGTGTTTAACATGGACGAATCTGGTCTTTTTTGGAAAAAGCTACCTTCCAAGACCTTCATTGTGAAGAATGCCAGCAAGATTCGGGGCTGGAAGTTGCAGAAGGAGCGCATCACCGTCCTGTTTACCACCAATGCCTCTGGTACCTGTAAGCTCAAGTTATCGGTGATCCACACAGCACGCAAGCCGCACGCTTACAAGAGCATGGACATGACCAAGCTAAATGTCCACTGGCTGACTACACGTAAGGCGTGGATGTTCTCTACACTGTCCCTCTCCTGGTTTGATGACTGTTTCGTTCCCGATGTGAAGAAATTCTGTGAGCAACAGAATGTGCCATTCAAGATTTTGTTGCTGCTGGACAACGCACCAGGACACTCGCCCCTACTGTTAGATCGTCACCCCAACGTAAAAGTGGTCTTCCTTCCTCCCAACACTACGTCTATATTACAGCCCATGAACCAAGAGTTAATCTGTAATGTAAAAGCTGCATTCTCTACTAAAAAATTCCAGCTCCTGAACGACTACACCAACACCAGGGAAGAGTTGCATAACCTAAGTGACACCACCGATAGCAAGAGCGAAAACTGACATTTTTTTTAAACAGGGATTAGCTCACCCAGGCATAGATCACTGACCCACATCGGGGCCTGGGGGGCGAAAATGTAATAGTAATACTAATTATAATAATTATTCATAGTAAATAAAAATTTTAATAAAAAATACACCAAAATAAAATAATAATAATAATAACAATAATAATAATAATAAAATATAATAATAAAATTAATAATAATAATAATAATAATAATAATAATAATAATAATAATAATAATAATAATAATAATAATAATAATAATAATAATAATAATAATAATAAAGAAATACAAGAATGAAAAAAGATAAAAAGTGAGAAACACGACCTAGACCTATGAATTATTATTATTATTATTATAATAATTATTATTATATTTTTGCCTCCCAGGCCCCAATGTGGGTTAGTGACTTGTGCCTGGATGGGCTAATACAAATAAAAAAAAAAAATTCTGAAAACCGAAAAATTTCGAAATCCGAAATGCCTCTGACCCCAAGGATTTCAGATAAGGGATTGTCAACGTGTATATTAAAATTCTTTTTTTTTTTTTTTTTTCGAAAACCAGTTTTTAACACTCTTTGGGGTGGTAATAGAATGCCTTAAAGATAGCCAAGCTTGTTGATTTTATTTATTAACTTTTTATTTTAACTAGTATTTTCTTATACTTCTTTTCCAGTTCTCATCAACGACTATATCTCTTTGTGCTATCACTGCGTACACTGTATCTCCCTGTGAATGGTGTATTGTAGGCACAGTTTCAGTCCTTGAGAAAGCACACAAACAAAATAAAATTTAAAGTCTCTGTGGCACCTATAACACAACTTGGTCTCTGCTGGCAGTGGTGCCTTTCCAGCTTACTGTACTTGCCAATTTGTATTCACTTTAAGTTATTTACAACCTCTTCCGCGGTCACTGATGACGCTATGAACTGATTTAACTAAAGGCACAGTATTACACTCCCTGGTTGGCCTTTATCACAGCCATGACCACAACGACGTAAAAAAAAAAGAAAAAAGTTTTGTCATATGGCAATGATTTTGTGGTTGTAGGCTTCTTGACCTGGGCTGTGTCTCCAACTCGGTGGAGATTGAGTTTTCAAAAATACAAACGCATCGAGCATTAAAAATCCTACATCGATTTACACTTTCACATCACTGAGACGATCTTGATGATCTTATGAAATCACTGTCCAATTTATGCCGCTCAACAACGAAGGCCCGAGTGCCGAACCCCTTTGTTACAGAGATGCAACACAACCCGACCCGGGCGCACAAACGTTTTAACGGTTAACCTAACCTAACCCAACTTTATATCGAAATGAACAATACAATTCATTAATAATACGTAGAATATAAAAACACACACGAGGAGACAAGAAGGCATTGTTTTCATGAGTGACGATGGTTCTACATAAGAAACTGAAGAAAATAAGACCCTGGTTGTAGCTAAAGTATAATTAATGTACAAAAATGAATATACATTTAATTAATGTTATTTAATGTTAATAACTGGAACAATAGAAGTAGCTAACCACTAATGGTAAAGAAATAAAGCGAGACGGATTGGGAACGCCAACGTATGTAATTGCGCAAATGTGAAAACATATCGTCATTTCTATACATAGAATATGAAAGTAAAACTTAAGTTATTACTGTTCATATATGTTTTGAATAATATTTACGAATGTAAAACAAATATTCTACTCACCAATGGTGGTAAAGTCCAAAACATAAGAACAGCCAATGAATATTGTGCGAGTTTTTACTCAGATGACGAAGTCATCAGGTTCAACTCTGGCTGAAGCTGTAGCATTCCATAAAGCTCTTTGTGAAACTGTTACTGAACCTGAAGTTGATGTTGAAGCTGCTTATGATGCTGAATTTGATGGTGTAGCTGAAATTGATGGTTTAGGCCTTCGAATAATAAAGCTGTCGAAAGAATCTTGCATAGCTGCTTTCTTTTCTCGTTATACATCTTTATGTAGAGGTCATTTGCGTTTATTTAAATTTTAATGCTTTGTTCTGTTAATGGATCCACTTCAGAAAATATGTTCATTGCTTGCTCCATATAATATCCACAGACCTCTCACCTTTTTCATATCGTAACACATCTAGTTTCTCGACTAAGCTTGTACACTTTCTATTAGCTTTTGAAACAACACTACCATCACTTGCTCTCTTGCTCATGTTGAATAGGGATGCAAAAATGCCGTAAGAAACCTGAGAAAGTTTTTCTCTTGTTCCTGTTCCAGATGGGTGAAAACAAAAAGCCCGCCAAGCTCCGACTGTTGTTTACCACTCATTAGCAAGGCAGCTTCTTTGTGCAAGGCGCTCTTAATTTTTTTTACAGTAATTTTTTTTTTATAATACATATTGGGATTTAGTTATTATTTATATGAAAATGAAAAAGTAATTTTATTTTATTTTTATTATATTTTGGTCGTAAATACGAATGAAATAAGGATGTAAATTGAATTGGGTCCTAAATAAACTAGTTTTAAATATGAAAAGTTGTTGGTCGAACCGTTGTTATCGGAGGCTTTACTGTATTTTATTGTATTATTTTATTTTATTTATTTTTTATTATAAATTTTATTAACTATGAATTATTATTATTATTACTGTACTACATTTTCGCCCCCTAGGCCCCAATGTGGGTCGGTGATCTGTGCCCTGGTGGGCTCATCCTGCAAAAAAAAAAAAAAAGTGTGTGATGCTCCACGAAAAATCTTTCGGTTTTCAGAAATTTTCTGTTTACAGAATTTCAGATAAGTGGTTGTCAACCTGCACTGTATCGTCAATAGCCAGTGTTTCGTGGTCCTCTAGGCCATTCCCTACCCAGGAGATATTTCCAGCAGGCCAATCAGAAAATGCAGTTAAAATAGTGATATTAAAATTACTGTGATCTCTTGAACAATATATAAATTCTTTTTCTTTACAGTTTATTACATGAAAACACAATATTATAGTATAAAATAGGAAAATATTGAAACTTTGCTCTCCTATGCAGCTTATTTCCTGATGTACCCCTCTACGAAAATCTGTATTCGGAAAAATATTAAAGAAGTATATTATTTTCATTCAGATCATCATTATGGAGAGGTTGAAATGTATAATGAGTTAAGAAATTACGAACATATCATTTATGGTTCAAAGGTTATAGTACTGTACTGTAACAGTGCACAAATTTAACTGCATTTTCTGTTTTTGTGTTTTGACTGTTACCAAGTTCTTCCAAGGGACATTTCATATAAAGATACAATACACATAAACTATGACTAAGCATACAAACCTTGGTGTTTATAGTCTTCACCTGGAGAATGTGGGAAAGAAGTATGAAGGGGATTAATCCCTGCAATTACTGAAGCTCCACACATAGTTGCTTCCATCAGTGTAACAGCCACAATAGCATCCTGCACTGTCACTTCTGTCCTCATCATCAACTTCGCGTGGCCCTGACTCAACCGCACTAAACTCTCAAGCATTCTGAGATAGGAGATCAATTGAAATGTTATTGGCAATATTTGAAAATGTCCCTGTACTCCCCTGATATATACAGTGTTCCAGAGAAAAGACATACAATGAAACGTTTTATAATAAGGAATTTTCCCATAAGAATAAATGTAATTTGTGGTACGGTATAATATGCATTCCTGGAGAGAGAATTTTCAACAAATCAGCTTACAGTGGGGTCATAATAACATACTGTATACTATTTGATATGGTGAAATATTCAAAACAATGTTATTGGTTATCTTTCAGTGATATATGGTGGCTCGATTTGGCTACCTGTGTACTTAGACAACTATCAGTGGATAAACCAGGGCATTTGGAGATGCATTATACACTACAATAATACTTATTAAGTACTGACAAATACACTACAATATTATTTACAAAGTGCTGAAGACAAATGCTGTGGTTCTTCTGATCACAATCTTATTTCTATTAAATCAAACTGGGCACAACCACCACCCCCACCTCCCTCTAAATGCAAACTATGGCACTATCGGAGGGCAAACTGGCAATTCTTGGAAGAATTTTTCTCCAACTTTCCCTGGGATGAATGGTGCTTTTCCACCTGGGATGCCTTGGTATGTGCTGACAGCATTGCTGGGGTATACAGGGTGGTATGAGTGCATTTAACCCATCTTCTACCAAAACTTTCACATTACAATCATGGTTTAATCGCTCCTGTTCTCTTGCATGTAGGGAGAGAGATGGGGCATATCAAACTATGAAACTGTCTCCTTCTCCTTTTACCTACTCCTCTTTCATTACTTCTAGGAATCGTTGTAAGGCTATTCTTCGAAAGGCCAAGCGGAATTTTATAAAAATAAAGACCACTGTTCTGTCTAATTCTTCTTCTAGTAAATCCTTCTGGTCCTTAACCAAAAACATCTGTAATAACCTCTGCACTCCTTCTTTTCCTCCTCTCTTCTGACCTGATAACTCTATAGCCAACTCTCCCCCTGACAAAGCCAATCTCTTTGGCACCTTATTCTCCTATAACTCCACCTTAGACGATTCCCACTCTATCCCTCCTACTGAACCTATGCACTTTCCTATAATCTCCACTCGGAGGATTGCTAGTGTGTTATTCATGTTGGATGTGAGCAAGGTGCGTGGACCGGATGGAATACCCCCTCGTGTTCTGAGGGAATGTGTTGAAATTCTAGTCCCTGTACTTGCTCACCTTTGCCTTAAAACCCAGACATTTCTTTCTTCTTGGAAGCATGCCTTGGTTCAGCCTATCCCAAAAAAGGGTAACCATTCTAATCCCTCTAACTATCGCCCCATTACCCTAACTTCATCCCTCTTTAAGATTTTTAAAACTATCTTAAACTTTCATTTTCTCCGCCACCTTGAACGCCTTTCTCTTCTGTCAAATCACCAGTATGGCTTTTGCCAGGCAAGATCTACCGATGATCTGCTCTCCTACTGCACCCATTTTTGGTCATCCTCTCTTAGGGCTTATGGGGAAACTTTCGTCGTGGTCCTCGGAATCTCCAGAGCATTTGACAGGGTATGGCACAAGTGTTTGCTTTCTAAACTTCCTTCTTATGGTTTCTCTTCTCCACTCTCTTCTCTCATTTCTAGCTTCTTTGAGAACCGATCCCTGGCAGTTGTTTTTGAGGGATTGATCTCTCACTCTTTCTCTACCAATACGTAGAGGTGTCCCACAGGGTTCTGTTCTTTCACCTACTCTCTTCCTTGTTTTTATCAATGATTTACTTCATTCTACGACTAATTCTATCCATTCTTACGCTGATGATTCTACTCTTCACTCTTCTTCATATTTTTCCCTTCCCCGTAATTTTCAAACTACATCTGTTTCTAGAGCTGATATCATTTCATCTATCAATGCAAATCTGTGCAGCATCTCCGAATAGGCAAGTAGAAACTTGGATAAATGTAATAGTAATAAAACACAGTATTTACCAATTACAATTTCAAAAATAGAAGATCTCCCACCAATCACATTTCAGGATGCAATCATTCTGCTAAATTCTAAAATAGATATGCTAGGCCTCACCATTTCCTCTGATATGTCATGGAAGCCATACATCCACAACATTGCTAAAGCTGCCTCCCGAAAGCTGAGAATGCTATACAGATGCCGTCGCTACTTCACTCCTGAGCAGTTGCTTCAAGTATACAGTATAAGGGATTCATTCATCCTAACTTAGAGTACTGCTCTCATATCTTGGGTGGCTCTTCCTTTTGTCCAACTGTTAGATAGGGTGGAATCAAAGGCATTTTGTCTTAATAACTCTCCTCCTTTAGTTGACAATCTTTCTTCCCTTCTCTTCACCATAATGTTGCTTCACTCTCCCTCTTTTACAGGTACTTTAACGGGCAATCTTAGGTGGATTTGGCATCCTGTGTACCGCCGGCAAGGCCATGGGCTCGTAACACACGTCTTGCCCGCGGTGCCCACTGTTTCTCTGTGGATGTCGGTCACACAAGAATAACCCGTTATAGTACCTCCTTCTTTCCTCACACAGCCAAACTGTGGAATGCTCGGTCTTCTTCTGTGTTTCCATACTCATACAATCTGTCTCACTTCAAAACACTGGTTTTCCGGTATCTTTGTGGGGTAGATTAATACAGTAATATCTCCGTTAGCCGTAATCCCTCAAAACCCGGAACTCTCCGATAGCCGGAACTGAAATTTGCTCGGAAAAGCATTCCCAAAGCTTTGGGAAAAAAAATTCGAAGGTCGAAAATCGAGATCATTTTATGAAAATGTCTTGAATAAAGACGAAAGCTCAATTATTTTTGGGAGGGACCAGACCTAACTCAATGTCAGGTGGAGGTAGGGTAGGGGATTAGTGGTTCATATTACAGTACTGACTTTCTGATGGAATGTCAGGTCACCCTTTCTTGGGTGGGGATTAGTGGTCTAATATTACTGTCAGGTCACCCTTTCTTGGGTGGGGATTAGTGGTCTCATATTACTGTCAGGTCACCCTTTCTTGGGTGGGGATTAGTGGTCTCGTATTACTGTCAGGTCACCCTTTCTTGGGTGGGGATTAGTGGGTCTCATGACCTGAAGATGTCTTGAGTAAACACAAAACCTAAAGTATTTTAGAGAGATTGTGATAAGTATAAGTATAAATGAACAAAGTTGTATCCCTTCAACATTACATTACATAACATTTTAAAATATGGAGTGAGAAAGCAGAAAGGTGTGGGTGTAATGACCACGGTCGTACATGTTAGTTAAGGTTAAATCAGACGATTCATATTACGCTCAATAGCCCACAAAACATGTAGCTATGCCTTCTTTATTGAGTCTCCCCTCTGAGGCGTCCGTTTTCTCATCGCTTCAGGACGTCTGAGTCCTCTGTTTTACCTCAATCTTAGAGTGCACCCGAGACTCCGTATTCCTTAGTATAACGACACAAAATTTGAAATTGCAACTGTAGTCGTATATGTTAAGGCAACTTAGATATGTCTGATTACAGATGAAACATTCAAGATCCCTTGTGAGTGATGTTGAAAGCTTCAACTGTCTTTATTGTCAGTGAAACTTGTCAAGTAAGTGAGTGTCCAGTCTGCCAGTACTAGTGGCATATCCTTATATCGTCCTTTGGGATAGCCATGAGTTTCCAACTGCCACTGAAGTTAGATCATTTTGATGCCCACACATTAGAGAATCTGATGTTTGTAGGTTAGTTAGTGCCAGTTGACTATTTAAGAAAGTTCCTTGGCTGTGGTTTTGCGGTTTCCGGAAAAGTAGAGTTGTTAGTGTGTGTAATTAATGTCCATTTCACTTTTTACTGGCATGCATGCACAGGCCGAAACTGCCCGAGGCTTGTATATAAATGAATGCACGAGTAAAACTCACACGCTCGTGACTCTTCCTCAATGCATATCCAGGTATGTGAATGATTGTTTCCCGCCGAAATGTTAAGTCAGTTTAACTCAGTGAATTTTGTGAATATCAGTGTTCATGTTTTAACATAGAGAAATGATCATGTGCCAAGTATAATTAAAGTAACGTAAGTATCGTCTGTATCATTGCAAGACGTATGTTATGTGTAGTTGAAGTTAGACCTTTTAACACACTCGTGACTCTTCCTCAACACATCTCCAGGCACTGTCTGTGTTGTCACCACTACCGAGGTTTGGTAGCCGGCTGTAGGCAAGATGGTCCTTGAAGAATGTCTTTAATATGGCGAGATTAGAATCTGAGGACGAGAGCACCCAGAGAACAACGTGCTGAAACACACTGCATCGAGTCTACCCCCGGGCACTACTGGCCAACGAGCTTCGGCTGTTTGTGTAGTAAACAACCCCAAATATAAAATCCTCGTGGCACTTAGTATTTCAGCTATTACAACACAAATTAGCGGAGCCTTCTTTGTGCGTATTTACAGCAGATTCGCCAGGCAAGAAGATGACGGTGGCAGTGCGTGTGATGGAGGGTGGGGGAGGGGTTTTTGAGAATTGCAATTAAATGCCAGGTAGTGACGTGTCCTCCTAATATTATGTATTTAAGTAATTATTAGATGTTTTAATTGCCTGTATGTTGACCTGGCGAGTTAATGTTAGGCATTTTCATACCTAGGTATAAAGCTAGACGTTGCATTTTGGATTGAACAACAATAAACAATATTGTATTGTTAATGATACAGAAGTTTGATGAATAGTAGTGACAATTGTAGCACGCTGCTATTCTTCAAACGACTCTCATTGACGATGCAATATTGCTTATTTATTAATTAATACCACAACATCACACCCAGACACCCTAACACCACCCACACACCCCCATATTGCATGACATAAATTTATGCATGATTAACTACGTGGTGGTGAATTAAAAGATCAGTTGTTGAGGAGCTTAGCAACACTGGTGCATGTTACCACTCCATCTCTTTAATCACCCTCAGCTTTCAGCTTTCTCACTCCACATTTTAAAATCCATTGTAATATAATGTTGAAGGGATACAATGTGATGTGTAAGTATAAAAAATAGTGTGACCTGACATTATATAAAAAGGTCAGTAATATGAGACCACCAATACTCCACCCTACCTCCACCTGATATTGTGTCAGGTCAGGTCAGTTACACGAGATCCACTAATCCCCCACAGCTCCAAGGGAGTGGAAAATACCAGTCTTTGCTGTAACACACAGCTTCATTCACGACCATATCATATAGATTTTTGGTTTAGACTCTTAGAAAACTTCCCAGCACACAGAAACATTCTGAGGATGTGGGCTAGTGTTTGTCTGTGCAAGATGCATAGTTGAGACACTCGGAAAGTTTTTCCAGTAACCGAAAATATTTCTGGGTGATGGGGTATTTTTCCGGGTTTGAGAAAGTCGTCTGGTTAGCCGGAAATCTCTCATCCCTGGAAGTGCTCTGCACCAATTGTTCCAGCTAACGGGGATATCACTGTATAGTCTTTTTCTCTTCTATTTTTAATTTCTTTTTACTCTGATTTTTTTGTCCCCCAGGCTGCCGTTGAGGGTCAATGACCTGTGCCTGGGTGGGCTATCCCCCACCCCCCCCCCCCCAAAAAAAAGGAAAGAGCAGTGACATCAATGGTGCTTGAGATAAAGTGAGTACATGCAAGTACTGTACATAAGTGGACAGTATCAGTAAAAAAAAAAAGGGAACATTACTTACTCTGGGAAAATGTTACAAGGATTAAGACTTAAGGTCTCTCTCAAGCTATATACAGCTTACCTGATGGTGGTTCTAGCTTGACTGCGTTGGTCAGTTTTTCTCTGAGCTTGATAGTATCGAGAAAGGATAATGTTTGCCTTTGGTGTCATTGCTGGCTGGATGGAGTGCACATGGCAGAAGTAAGCTTGCAGCTTCGCCATGCTCCAATCTTCTTCACGTCCACCATCCCCAGAAAGAGGATCACGACCCTTCAGAACGTAATCAGATACTATTCTAAAAGAGAGATATATATATCTTACATTATTTTCCTTTTAAGATAATACTCATCATTTAAAATATCTATATAATTTGTACTGGCAACCCTGATTCCCAAATCTAAGATGATACAAATTATTGTTTTATCCTGTGCTGTTATACAAACAAAACCCATGAAGTTAAGAAAATTTTAACTGTACAGGGTCCAGATTTAAATAGTGCACCAGGATTCGAACAAGAGTTTGTGAGCTTGGCAGCTCCTATGCCCTCCTGCCACTGATGCAGTCATTGTCTCATGACCTGTTGCATTGTGGTTAGGTGGCATTTACTTAGTCATATAGTTAGTTACATATACAGGTACATTATGTAATTTATTTATTCATAAAACAAATTTTAGGGGGTTTATAGAATGAGTGATTGGTATCTCGCTGTGGAGAGGCTGCCTGTATGGCATGTTGGTTGGTCAAGATCACCATAAAATGATGAATATTAGCAATGTACAGTACAGTACAGGCATTCGCTGACTTATGTAGTGCCAAACACCTTCTTGTAATATTTGGGGAACAATATTTGATACAAGTCACTGAAGTCTGATATAGCGTCGTTTTGAATCTCACACACAGCAGTGTGGCACTCGCCTCACACACGCTATCAAGCCCATAAAATTCAGATGCATTGGAGGGAGACCGTGGAGGTAGAGTCCCGGCTGATCTCTATTACTCTGGCGAACCAGGAAGTGCATGTACAGTATTTGGCTTTTATTTACTGGTTTGGCAATACAGGAAAGCCTCCGATAGCGACGGTTCTACCAACAACGAGTCATATTTAAGACCCTGGTTAATTTAGGACCCAATTCTATTTACACCATTATTTTCTTAGTACGTACTGACGACGAAAATAGAATAAAAAATAAAATAAAATTACATTTTCATATAAATAATAACTAAATCCCTTGCGCACCGAGGCTGTTGGGAGTGTTAGTGGTGATGCCGGCATCACTAGTATAAACAGTCGCAGCTTGTGGGCCCTTTGTTTTCACGTATCTGAACAGGAAAAGGAGAAAAACTTTCTCAGGTTTCTTGGGCACTTTTGAGTCCCTATTCAACATGAGCAAGAGAGCAAGTGATGGTAGTGCTGGTACAAAAGCTAAAAGAAAGTGTATAAGCTGAGCCGAGAAAGTAGATGTGTTAAAACGATATGAAAAAGGTGAGAGGTCTGTGGATATTATAAGGAGCAAACAACGAACATATTTTCTTAAGTGGAGCCATTAACAGAGCGAAGCGTTAAAATTAACAGGGACGTAAAAAACACGTATGACTTCTATATAAAGATGTATAATGAGAAATGAAAGCAGCTGTGCAAGGTTCTTTTAGACAGCTTTATTATTTGAAGGCCTTAACCATCAACTTCAGCTACATCATCAAATTCAGCATCATAAGCAGCTTCAACAACAACTTCAGGTTCAGTAACAGTTTCACTGAGAGCTTTATGGAAAGCTACAGCTTCAGCCAGAGTTGAACCTGATGACTTCGTCATCTGAGTAAAAACTCGCACAATATTCATTGGCTGTCCTTATGTTTTAGACTTTACCACCATTGGTGAATAGAATTTTGTTTTACATTAGTAAGTATTATTTAAAACATATATGAACAGTAATAACTTAAGTTTTACTTTCATATTCTATGTATAGAAATGACGATATGTTTTCACATTTGCGCAATTACATACGTTGGCGTTCCCAATTCGTCTCACTTTATTTCTTTACCATTAGTGGTTAGCTACTTCTATTGTTCCAGTTATTAACATTAAATAACATTAATTAAATATATATTCATTTTTGTACATTAATTTTACTTTAGCTACAACCAGGGTCTTATTTTGTTCAGTTTCATGTGTAGAACCATCACTACAGGTGTAAACAAAAACGAAAACAATGCTGTCTCCTCTCTTGTGTGTTTTAATACTTACTATTGACCTCAGAATATCTCTTAATATCAAGTGTAAATGGCTTCAAAATGGCCTGGAAATGCCCATGATATTGATCAGATACAAAAAAAAAAAAATCGGCATGGTGGCGCTCCCCCTGTGGACTCGCTATGCTCTCCATGTTCCCCTACCCATAACTTCTTGAACCCCCACCTTTTGACATTTCTGGATCCACCCCTGCTGTTGCACTGATTCCCCTCTTTTGTGGGAGAGGTAACTACAGTACAGTATACCAATACTCAAATACAGTAAATTATAAGGGATGGTAAGGAAGCACTTATCCCCTAGTATGAATCCTGTGTTGAAAGAATCAATTGGTTTAAGCCCATATATTATAAAGTATCCTTACTTCTAGTTTCATAATTATGGAAGTAAGACATTTTTGTTTTATACAAATTTGTGTTATTTAAACTTAATTGATTCTGGGTTCTACAGTCTTTTACTTCCACATACATGTACATTTACCCTTGTGACTCAATTAAATGTGCAAAATTAATTCAATAAATGTTGAATGGATAAATCAAGCTCCAGTAACGGTGTTTACACTTGTGTTCCTTGTCACTCGACAGAAGATATTTGCCGGTCTCTGCAGGAGGAAGATGTTCCTCGAAGCAATCCATTTTACACCATTATATTGTCTGTTTTATCTACAGTAGCATTTATTACCAACCTACTTGTTAAAAATTTTTTCTGCCAAGAATTAAGAGCAACAAGTTACAAGGTTTTCATTTAAACCCTGCCTGTTTGTGACACACACACACACAAATATATACAGGTTGAACCTTCCTAATCCGGTACTCTATTGTCCGGCACCTCCCGTCGTCTGGCAAAATTTTAGTTTGCCGGACGGCCACTAGTACCCACCGGCGCTAGTATCCATGGTTTGGCATACCCTTTGTTTACACCTGGTCCTCGTGGAGTTTGGTGCGTTCCTAGGTATTTAAAGTGTTTCTGTAATATTTCACTTGTTATTTACCCTTAATATGCCTGCTAAGCATAGGTATTTATTTTATTATTTCATTTACTGTACAAATATCTTTTTCTTCTTTACAGGTGAACATCACCAATTTATGTACAGGTACCATAACTATTTTGTCATTTTAAATGCAGAATGAGAATTATTGTTTATCTATTTTTGTTTATTACAATTACATTGTACAGTAGAACGTGGATATAACACGAGATATGTTCCAAGAGAGGTCGCTTTAAACCGAATTCTCACTAAATCAAAGTGTTGTTTTAATGGAATAATTTAGTTTGGTACTTGAGAGAAACACAAAATACTAAAAAGACTGACAGTCTACCCAGATGCACCTCAGCCCATCTCCTAGAATAAACAAAACATTGTTTTTTGTAGTATTATGTTAAAACAAACACTCATAAATCATCACAGCTAAAATTAAGGGATGCAAAATGGTCTGTTTACTGGCAGGGAAGATGGGGGGGGGAGGAGGGAGGTGAGGTGAGATGTTTGACAGTTGATGCCAAGGTCTAGTGCTTATTTATTTATCTGTACTTAAGAGTGACTAAGTTTTTCTTTTATAAAATGTCACTGAACTGACATGGGAGAATATAATTAACATTGCTAGAATTCATATAAAGATGCTATAGCTGGCATTAGACATACAAATTTTAGTTCTAATTTAAGAATTTTAATACAAAGAGCAAAAATTTTTATCTCTTGTGCAAAATATAAGACGTTAAGATTCAAATTATTCACTGTCGTGCAAGGATTCTAGAAATGCAAATTATATTCTCCTAACTTTAGTCTGAGATATTTTATAAGATAAAAACTTAAAGCCTACTGTATAACCACCAAACCCTTGCTGGGAGGGGGGGGGGCGAGGGAGGGAGGAAGGAAGGGGAGGTGACAGTGACATGTTTGACAGTTGGCACTGAAGGTCTAGTGAAGTATTTATTTGTTTATTTATTTCCTTTAGATTGAATTTATGTTTTTTGCTTATAAAATGTCACAGAAGTGGCCGGGGAGAATGTAATTTACATTGCTGAAATTCTTATAAGATACCTGTAGTGATTAATTTGAATATAATCATGGTATAGTTTGCACTAGACAAAAATTTTAATAATCATTTAGTACATTATTTTGAGTACATGTACAGTACAGTTTTGCCCTTAGGACAGTGTAGCGTGCCCAGAGAAACATTAGGCGCAAAATTTTAAATATGATGAGCCAGATTGGCGCATCAATAATACAATGTATTTTACAAAGACCACCTGTGGTTCAGAAAATTCTATAGTCCAGCATCGGTCAGGTCCAAAGGGTGCCGGATTAGGGAGGTTCAACCTGTAATAATGGTTGCCCCTCGTGTAATGAGGACGACCGGCCCAAGGGCCACCTGGGCATGAATTTATTTAAGGTGAAGAAGCTGTCATCAACACATCAACCACACCCTAAGTTAAAAAGCTGCATGACCCAGTATCAAGGAATAGTCTGAGAAGACCGGACAACTCGCCAACTGCACTGGCTAACTATTACCCCAGAACGCGATCCGCAAATCGTTAGCATCCAGGTTCCCAATGGACGAGTTGACTTTCGGAATTTTTTTATAAGATGGCAGGTCAATGGGTAAAGAAAACACCTTAATTCACTATGGTAATATTTTTAAATAAACTGGGCCAAAAAGTGAAAAAAAAGGGTTAAAGATGCTGAAAAGTCACGTGACCGCAAAAAGCTCTGTGACTGGTTGTGATGTCACTGACTAGTGCGAGCCGCCCAGCCAGCTGTGGTGCATTATTACCAGCAGAAATACAGGACTTGTGGCCATATACAATGTTGATATACACAGGCTAACATAAATTACTGCTCAAGTATCATCGAGTGTATTTACTTTCTGGGTGCCAAAATGATGCAAAAGACCGATAACTCCAACATGGAAGTTTTCATCACTGTTCTCTATTTCATGTTAGGAAAAATGTAAGTTTTCATCACTGATGTCTATATTTAATGTTGTGGAAGGAATAGGGACGACCATGGCCAAGGAATGGGCTTGAGATGATCATATGACAGATGTAATTTAACGTGCTTCATAGCTGGATGGCAGAGTTCATAATAATACTCTACCATCATAAACACATCTACTCTTGGTAAATTTCTTTCATCTGCCTTGATGAACCCTGGAAGTAGTTGTCCAACGTTCTCGGCTGATCGGCTCTGTAAATAAATATTATTAGATAATTAATTGTGCTTTACTGTGCAACACAGTAATACTATTTTGAATAAATAAATATTACTAAGCACATTAAATAGGTCAATGGAATAAACTGCCCCTACTAGAAATTTCATAGTATAAACATTCCAAACAATATTGGTATTATTTTGGTTTTGGTCATCTGGGGAACCTGAATATTTTAACTATGGGATTAAGTACTTTAAACAATAAGACACATTATCTCTATGGGATTTCTGTCGCCAAAAATTTTTCGATAGCATAAGTAAATACAGGTCATAGGTTAGGTTAGGGTATGATGAGTTATAAGGTTAGCTTAACATACATCGGTAAAGCGGGGGGGGGGTTAATAACTGAAAACTAGTGATTTCCGATAGAAATGAAGGTCTAAATCGTCCATAACACATCGCAAACAATCAGAAAAAAATATGGTCTGCATGTGAAGGCACAGGGATGACCAAAACTTAAAATGTACCCAATATAGCCAATCTCGAATCTAAACATCAAAATACTTATGGTAAAATTTTACCCATTAATGATGATATATCCCAGTGGTTCATTAGTGAAACATCAAAACAGTAACAGCATTATGTTGTCACGTTTACCTAGCATCAGGTATTCTCAAAACAAAGTCCAGACAATGTCATTACAGGCATCCCCCGGGTTACAGAAACTCTGGTTCTGGAAATTCG